GCTCTTCCGTTCTGTTTGCAAAAAAAAACTCGCCTTTGTCAGAAACCGCCCGGTAACCGCAGGTACCCGATTTTTTCGGAATTTAAGAGCAGGATTAGGTTAAGATGGAAACCGCTGGCTACCTTCGGGAGGGATTCGATGTAGCTCTCGGGAATGGCCATCTCGGACAGAACTTGAGCGTTAATGGCCATGGCGGCTTTCTGGACCTGCGTGACCGAATCTTTCTGGAAATGAAGCATTCTTCTTGCAGGTTCTGATAAACCGTTCGGCGGTACCTTCACCGGAGGCAGCCACCATTTATCGTTCGTCCTCGCGTTCCGAGCGTTTTTCCCTTCTTCTGAATCTCTCGAAACATAATAGAACTCGTTGTCACCTCTGAAATTCTCCAACGTGTCCTGATAATGTAATGGAATCAGATCTGTTTCAGAAACATACGTGTATGTATGTATGTATATGAATAGATATGGTTACGTACGATGAGCATGGCGTCGAGCTTGCGGAGTGCGGGGATGTTCATGAGAAGATCGCCTCTCTGTCTTGTCACCATGATCTGAAACAGAAGGGGGAAGGTTTCAGATAAATGTCTGAATTTTCTGTGAAGATGAGATTTTTCTCGGGAAACAAACAGGCTGACAATCGAGCTAACCTCGGTGAGGACACCGTCTTTGGTCATCTGCTGAGAAGGAACAAACTCAACGATATGATCGGTCACAGATAATAACCAGTCGATCTCTTTCTTCCACCTCGCCCGTCGATCTGGCGACATCGGCTGTAGCTTCGTCTGTTCCCCGAATACAGCCGCTGCGTGTTGAAACGGACCCATGATCAGATCCATCAGAAACTATCATCAGAATGGTTTCTGGATACGTTTCTTGAGGAGCAAGAAAGAGAGAAAGGAAAGAATCGTACCGGCGAGATTGGTGATTGCGTTGGACAGAGCCAGAGCTGAAGACACGCCTTTCCCGCCGCCGGACATATCTTCTCCGAGGAGCAATTTTGCGAATCTCTCCTTCATCATCTCCATATCTGCAATGCCAGAGTGTCGAAACCCTAACTCAGAAACTCACTCCATAGCTAGGGTTCATATATAAAAAGCTTGAAGCGTTTCGGACACAACACTCACCGGATTGTTGTCTCTCCGGTCGGCTTCCGGTCCTAGCTCCTCCTCCGGAAACCCTTTCACGGGTGAGAGCGGATGGGATCGGACGGCTGTTATCCACGGCAGGACTCACTCCGGCAGCCTCCGGCGTTTGACTTTGACTTTCCGGCGTGATTGAATCGCCGAGATCAGCGTCTCCGTTCTCCATTGCGAGGCCGTGATTAGATTGGTGTTGGCTTGGTGGTGAGTCGAAGATTCTTCTGAAATTGAAAGATCTCGAAACGCTCAATCCTCGTTCCAATGCAGGAACCATGGTCCGACGTTGTTCTTCCTGTTTCTTGCGCCACAAGTAAAGTCTTCCCACTCTGTTTTCTTTCCGGGAAAATGCAGAAGTCGAGAATAACCCGGAAAATGAAAACCTAAAAGACGAGAAAACTATGTTGAATCCTCGTACAGACGACGATCACGACAAAAACCAGTTCTTTGTCTCTCTCTTTCTTTCTCTCCTTGTGTCGCAGAGCTTGAGACAGGGAAAGAACTATTTAGAGGGAAAGCAGATGATTTAAGGATTAATAAAAATTATCGTTATAAAATAGAAAGTTAAATTTAGGGTTTACCTTTTTTTTAGTTTTTTTTTTGTGTTGGAAAAAAATCGATGGTTTGTGGGGAGTGGTAACTGTGCAAGTTCCATGAAGCTCGGGAAACACATAAAACATCCTTAGCTATTTTAAACTTACCATTAGAATCTATTGCAGACCATTGGATTTCGTACTGTTTATAGTTATCCTCATATTCTTCCAAAAAAAAGAAATATTCTTTTTTTAAAAATTAAATCAACCACTGATATTTTTTTCCCTATTACATCTAATCCGAAATTGCTGTTAAAATTTTCTATTCATCTCTATCCATGACCATGACTATAGATGCGCAGATGTTATTTGTGATGCATATCCCAACATATCTTTTTGGTAGATTCAAGACATATTCTTACAAATATCTACATGCAAGAAGGTTAGGATTAGGATCCATTAAAAAAAAAAAAGATATTCTCATGGGGAACCAAAAGTGATCAAAATGTTCCTACCAAAAGAAATTATCAAAATGTTGAAAATTTTACTAAAATAAAAGACATTTGTATTCCATTTGAGCAAACATACGTTGGTGGATGCATGTAAATACTTACTTTTGTGTCGGAAACTACATTCATCGTATACTCTCCACATATATACATATATATATGTATATAACAAATCATATTCTTAGACATATGTACATGTAAAAAGGTAAGGATCCAAAAAATATGTAGGTTTTAGTTTGACGCCGAAACCGTTGGTCTCTTTCGCTCTCCAGCTTTCGTGTGAAGCTTAGCCGAGGAGATCTCTTCCACCTGAACACCCACAACACAACAAGTCCAACATCATCCACCACAAACGGAAACAACAGTGAACACAACATCTGCGATCTCCGACCAAAGACTCCCACTCGACCGCGCGAAAAAGTCTTCAACTTTCGCAGCCTACATGTCCCGGGAGAAGGGTTCTGGGAAGTTACAGCAACATTATTGCTTTCCAGGACAAAACTACCTAAGTGACAGTGTTCGCATGATGTGGGAGAAGGATCGCCAAAGAGCGGAGGAAAGATTGAGATGGTGAGGGGAATCTGGGATTTGGGTCGGAGAATTGGGTTTCTTCTGGTTGATGATACTCATCAAGTTGTGTTTGATGACGTTGAGAAGCGGATCCTTTTTTGGACTGATTGAAGTTGGTGACACAAAGCCACCGATTCGAACCGAATCTTTGTGGACTAACAGTACTGATTAACAGATGAATGTATATAGTGAAGAAAGCACTACCCTACAAATTTGCAGAATGAGCAATACTATCAGCTCTAGTGAAGCCGAGGTCAATAGATGGATACAAATGGAAGAGAGAGAAAAAAGAACCGAAGAAACGAGAAAAATAGAAAGAGTACCAGCCCGGATGAACTGAAGAAGAAAAACGAGTTCTTTAGCTCTGCTCTATACATCTTTGTATAAGAGTTGGTATTTCGGTATTCTCTCCGGTGGGAGGGGACAATTCACGATCAGTTTCCCTTTCATCGCTCCCCGAAATATCGCCTGTGGAATACAGAAGAGAGAAAGTTACGACCTCATCAGAAACTCTTGAGTAGTTTCAACAAAGCGCAAACCGAACATATATGTCTGAACATCTAATAAAAAAGGCTGAATCTTCAGCATTGTGTATTGAGTCATGAACGGAACAAGTCGCTACAAACTCGACTCAAGATGCATGAATTAAGAATTCGAGCATCAGAGATCCATATCTGTGAGATAACCTATGCATATATGGACTGTCTTGAGACCGAATCTTCGTTGTTTTTATCAACTGGCTACAGCTTTTTACACACTGTGTCTGGTCCCGATTTTTGGCATGAATAGAATTCTACAAATAAGCTTGAATTTCATCACCTTAAATGGCTCTGTTCAATCAGATCCTTACCTCGACAACATCAATGAAATCCTGCTTTCTGTAAAACGCACCAATCCATTTCGTGTGATCCGCAGTTCTGCAAATCACAAACCAGAAGTTACTCCCAACCTTTACACGCAATGTCTCTATGTACAATGTGCAGGTATAACTACAAGAGCATATAAACCTAGTTTCTGAATGTTTTCGATTTTCTTAGAGAAGAAGAAACTATGAGAAATACTAAACAAAATTACCCAGAATCCATCTTCATGTGATGCGCATTGAAGAAGAAGACTGTGGAAGGTATCAACGTAATGTCAAAGTACTTCACATATACTTGGACCTCCTCCGAGTCAATCTCTACCAAAGCCACCGTTGCGAACTTCGAGACATCTCTCGCCGATTTCGCGAGCTGAAATCAAGGGATTCAATCAATCGCAATTTTGCCCGGAAAATCAAAGGGAGCAGTTACAGAACGTGAACCAGAGAGAAAACGGCAGACGACATGAGAATCGGATCGATCATTACAACGTCATCGAGTTGCAGACAAACGGCGTCGGAGGCCCGGCCGAATCGGAGAACCAAAACCTTATCGATCGTGTCTCTGATAATCCGATCGATCTCCTTCTTCATCTTCAGCGTCGTTAGTAAATAGCTCATCTCTCTCTCCGTCTCGAATTTTCTCCGATTCTAAGTAACGAGGAAGAAGACGATCCTTTTAAGACAAGGCCCGAGACAGGCCCAATTTAATACTGCGTCATTCGCTCTTTCGACGGCAGGATTTACTCCACGTGTCACAATCTCACGGCGAGTTCAATGAGCCGGTCGGTGTGGCGGTTGTAGCGGAATATGACCCCGAGATATTGCTTTTTTTTTATAAAAAAAATATACTGCAAAAGTTCTGGTGATATTAAGCGAATCATCGGTTCATTTCGCAATTCCTAAATCTCAGCATATGCATCACGCAAACTCTCCTAAGGAGAGAACATTTATCAACCAAAATCGAACCTTGGGAGAAGAAATATTCCTAATTTCCAATTTGTAATTCCTCGCCTTTTGTTCAATTTTCTTGATCCTTGTTTACGCCCTGATGTTTCTGTTCTTTGGTTTTGGCTCGTCTCGTTTTGATCGAAATCTTTTCCCGATTGATTTTAGGTTGACCCATATTCACTATGATCGTTATGGGTCTCCCAATTTCCCTTGGATTTCCGAATCTGTGCGGAGATTTAGGTGCTGGGTTAGGTTTAGGGTTAGGTCTGAATTCGGTTAGGGGAAATTAGAATCCTTAGAAGAATCGGCTGCAGTTTTGCTTGACGGTGTACTGTGATTTAGCCCAGTAATCTATTTTTGGAAAATAGGTTAAAGCTTAGTTTTTTAACTGAATAATCTCTCTCTCCTTTCCTTTGGCTGCATTGCTCTGGTGGAATGATAGGTGTTTCTGATTAGCCAATATCCAGTGGTGAAATGGTTGTTGTGTTCATCGATTCAAGCTCCCTTTCTGGATTGGTTTTAGGCTGCTTGTTGTGAGTTAAATGTACTTAATGTCTTCTGTGGTGATACGAAGTGATTAATTATCTATCGACTTTGGAGGAGTATGGTTAATCACTTTTATTTGCTTGTGTTCATAAGCAATTGCTTCATGCTTTTCCCCGCTGTAAACGTTTTGGATTCAATGCAAAGAGAGTTTTGTACGTTATGTGTTGATGGGTCTGCTGTCTGCTGTCTGCTATGTTTTCTTTCCTTATGCCCGCTGTTCGTATTTGATTTATGGCGATATTTTTCTTGAATTTTGACTCCTTCTCTTTGGCATGCAAATGCAGGTTTTAGGACATTCAAGCTGCCTCGCAGCTTAAGGAAAATAGTTCTTTTAGTTTTACATTCAGAATTTGGTTGGTTCCCCTTCAAGTTTTCCGAAGATTGTTCGATAGTGTTTGCTTCCTTGGTGGTTGGATTTGATCTGTATTTTTATCAACTGATCTTCATCGTAAAGTAAATTAAAGGCCTTTGAAAAAGTAAGGAAGTAGATTTCCAACAGGCTGCCATTAGAGTTTCTCTCAATTGGTAAGTTCTTGTTTTCAGCCATTTATATGTATATGTATAAAGTCTAGGTCCTTTTTTTAATGTAGTTTTGATGTGGACTGACTATTCCTGCCTGCTAAGTTCCCATTCTATGATCAAACACTTAGTCGGTATACGATACCTTTATATGTTTCTGCATATCAGAAAGGCAGTTATCTTCCCGATGAATTTAAGCAACGATTCCTTTTGCAGTTTTATCTTTTCAGAATATAAGATTAGCAACAAAGATTTATATCTTTCTAACTTGCTCGATGTGTGAGTAGTTTACACAGTGCATACAGGAATGGCTGGTGTAAAGCGAAAAATATGTACCGAGTCAGATGCTCATGCTCTTCACAGAGAACTGGACGAGGTTTCATGCCCTATTTGCATGGATCACCCACATAATGCTGTTCTTCTGCTATGCACCTCACATGACAACGGTTGCAGGTCTTACATTTGTGATACGAGTTATCGGCAT